TTTAGAATGGGGCTTAGAGCTGTTATAAATTGGAATCAGAGGAAAGAAATATGTGAGAGGTATTCTGGTCTTCTATGAGAAGACCATTCTATTCTTCTGTGAGAAAATTTTCAGGTATTCTAGAAGACCTGAATCTTCTATGAGAAGACCATTCTGGTCTTATTTGAGAAGACCATTCCGGTCTTCTATGAAAAAACCTTCGGTTCTACTAAGATATAACCTTTTGATCTTCTATGAGAAGATTTACTGGTTTTCTTTGAGAAGACCTTCCGGTCATCATTCTGGTCTTCTATGAGAAAATCATTCTGGTCTTCTATGAGAAGACCGTACTGGTCTTCTATGAGAAGATCATCCTGGTCTTCTATAAGAAGATCCTTCTGATCTTCTATGAGAAGACCTTCCGATCATCTATGAAAAGACCTTCCGGTCATCTATAAGAAGATCGTTCTGGTTTTCTATGAGAAGACCTTCCAGTCATCTATAAGAAGATCGTTCTGGTTTTCTATGAGAAGACCTTCTGGTTTTCTATGAGAAGACCATTCTGGCCTTCTATGAGAAGACCTTCTGGTATTCTATGAGAAGACTTACTGGTCTTCTTTAAGAAGACTTACTGGCCTTCTATGAGAAATTCTATCAACCTACTTCATTTCGTTCGGAAGCTAGTTGGATTTCCACAGACGGATAGACCGATAGACAGACAGACAGACGGTCGGACATCGCTAAATCGACATAGAATTTTATGCTGATCAAGAATATATATACTTTGTAGGATCTAAAGCGTATATTTCGAGGTGTTAGAAACAGAATGTCAAACTTAATATACCCTCCATACTATGGTGGAGGTTATAATAAATTTTGTAAAAACAGTGTTATTTCGGATTGTAATAATATTGAACACTTTGAACATACTTCGTTTGCATATAGTATCGAATTAAATATTTTCTTCATGATGTTATATCACTTAACAGTTTCCTATCTCAAGGTATAATATCGCATACCTGCTACATATTTTTCCAACATCTTTTCACTAAAAGTGCCGTATTAATTGATTTGCTTCACTGACAAATTGGTGTTAAAAATATATCGACGCAAAAGTGAATACTGTCTGTCGATATGGCAATAACAGTAGGCACACGCATCGGATGGGCATACATGGTATGGGTGTTCCTTCCTTGACTCTCCCATATGGTTGGATGCGGCAAGTTGAAGGAAAGACAAAAAATCAATCAATGCAGCATATACTGTGTTGCCTCTTCTGTAGCATAGGTTCCGCTGACAGGGAATGTATAAAAATAAATAAATTTTAATTACAATGTTATCATCGATGTGATAAAGTGAATAAACTTTTTTTTGTCGAATGACATGTAAGGCATGTGTTTTTTTGTTTTTGTAAAAGGTCGTCTCTGTGTCCAGACGAAAATCAGAGATTTTTATTTTTTTTTTTCACCGAAAGATGATAGGTTTGCCCATCATCCTGACCATATTTACTCGTTTTTATTTTATTTATTCAATTTTTATATTTCTTTTTATACATTTTTTGATTAATTTTGTTTCGTTTTGAATTTGCTGTGAAATTTTATTGTCTTTTCAAAGCTGTTCATTCATCCATTTGATTGACATACCCATTTCACACGGATTACCCTGGAAAGCCACATGCATTTCAGGCAAACCGAATAAATGAAAAATAAAAAAAAATACGACACCAGAGATAAAAATGATTTTATTTATCCGGGTTTGTTTATATTGGAAAAAAAAATTAAATGAGTGCGTCCACATGTGTGCAGCCGACAGATGCTGAGGCAGTCAGATCAGGTCGAAGTATTTGTTTTCAGGCTATCTGTGGCTATACAACACACAATATAAATATTTACCAAATGTACAATTGTTAATGTTCAACAAAAAATAATTATCTTGGCGCATTTTGCAAATGGATATTGACAAAAAAATATAAAAATATTAATTTGCAAAATTAATGTTTAAAATCATAATCATCATAATTTAGTTAAATATACCAATAATTATAATAAACAATATAAGTTGATATTATGTTCTTTATTTATTATTATTATTATTATTATTATTATTATTATTATTATTATTATTATTATTATTATTATTATTATTATTATTATTATTATTATTATTATTATTATTATTATTATTATTATTATTATTATTATTATTATTATTATTATTATTATTATTATTATTATTATTAATATATTATTATTATTATTATTATTATTATTATTATTATTATTATTAATAATATTATTATTATTATTATTATTATTATTATTTTATTATTATTATTATTATTATTATTATTATTATTATTATTATTATTATTAGTAGTAGTATATGATATAATAATAATTAATCATTGATATCCACAATTTTTGTTCATATAGTCCTTCGACAATTTACAATTACATCCTTGATGGACCTGTAAAAATAATCTTTAATGTTACTTACAAATGTTTCATATATCCCTGAAAAAAAATCTATCCAATTTGAGTTGATATTACATATACAGTGGATAATCGCCATAAAATCGGATGAAGATGTAGCCGATTTTCACCAAATTTAATGAACTTGCTTCTAGACTGAATTCTGTTGGTAATGCCACAATTCAGGTCATTTGGACTCATATTGGCCATTTGGTGCTTAATAAACATGAAATCAGTCGAAGATATACAGGGTGAGATGAAAAAACTGCAACCAACTTCAAACTGCTGTCATTTCTAAGCCACTCGTCTGACAGCTGTTAAATTTGTTCCAGTGACAGCTCATTATATTGTTTACAAGCGTACAAAGGCATTTTGGTGAGAATTTTCTAGAAAAAAAGTAATTCGTGATAGAATTCAAGCGTGATAGTGTGACGTCAAGGAAGTGGACGGAAGAAAATAGCAGCATCAGCAGAAATGTTTCGAAAAGTAAAGAAGCGACTTAATCGGAACCCGCATCGCAGTGGCCGAAAAATGGTTCGTGAGCTGAACATATCGCAATATTCCATTTGGCAAATATTGAAAAATGAGCTCGGGGTAAAGCTATTGAAATTCCAAAAATTGCAAGAACTTACACCGCAACGGAATGAAAATTGACTCCAAAGAACTAAAGAGTTCATTCGCTTGGCCGAACGTGCTGAACTGCTGAATTTGGATTTCTCCGATGAGAAAACATTCGTTATCCAGCAGTTTGTGTTCACTTGCCTAAGAGGTCAGCTGAAAATGTGCACCTTCGGTTGGCCACCAGAACTCAAGCGCCGGTCATGGTGATGGTTTGGGCCGCCATAACAGCCGATGGTCGCCCTTCGCTCATATTAATCGACCGTGGCATCAGAATAAATGCCGAATATTATCGCGAAAACATTCTGGAGGGTGTATTAAAGCCTTGGGCACGCAAACATTTTGGCCGCAGACCTACATTCCAACAGGACTGAATACCATCGCATTCAGCACGCGCCACCCAAGAATGGTTCCCAATTGCGGTTTCTCGCTTCACAATGGCCACCAAAGTCCCGGGATACCAATCCGAAAACAAGGTTGGCACTAAAAATACCAAAGTGTCGATCACCTGAAGTAAGAGCTTCGCTGGTAATGGGCCAAAATACCGCAGAGCAACATTCGGGCAGGGTTTGACCGTTTTATTGGCCGTTTGAAGGACATAATTCGTGCCAAAGGTGACGAATTCCAACAAATCTTAACTCATTCTAAAATTTGATACAATTTCCGACATTTTTTGCTTTCATTCAATAAAATTAAGAAAAAAATGTAAAAATAATGGCGTTTGACTTTCATCCTGTATATGGGAGCTATATCCAAATCTAATTTCATCTCGCTAAAATTTGGCAGAGGTAGTTACGAGCTCTAAAAAATATCTGGTACCAAATGTCATTGTTTTCTAATGCATATTACTATTGTGAGGGAATTAAAAACCAAATCAGATGAGACATATATATAGGAGCTATAGCTGTTGTGTTACGAATATAGCGCAACGAAGTTTCATCCTTGATGATTTTTGAAAGAAAAAATCCGCGAAACGTATTTTTGAGGGTTTTTAGAAATGTTTATATACATTTTCGATTATGTCCTTCACATTAAAAAAAACTTTCTTTCAAAATTCTCGATTACATTCGGGTCTTTTAAAATTTATATTTTTCTTTGAAAAACATTTGCTTGATATTCTGAGATAGCTTCCTTCAGAGATCTTGAAAATTATTCTTAAAGTAATCAAGATTATAGTCTACCTAGGTGACATCATTAATGATCCCTACTGGTCTTAACAACTAGTTCATTAAGAATATAATTTTAATTTTCAGAAAATAACGATTATATCCTTGATTGACTTGCCAAAACATTAGCGATTGCAGCCTTGATGGCGCTTTAGAAAAACTCGTTTAACATTTTTTTTTATTAATTTCCTTCCACTATTATAGACTTTATAAAATATCCACGATTATATCCCGGAAGATACTTGAAAAACGTTCTCAAAAAAAAAAAAAAAAAACAGAATTACATCCTTGATGGACGGCGAAAATAATTATTAAAAAAAGTCAACTTTTATTTCCTTGATGGTCCTTAAAAAAATATTTTTGTGGTTTCAAAATTATCAAAAAAAAAAATTCGCTATTAAAATAAACCAACCCATGCTTGGGCGCCATATAGTGTTCTATTTTATAAAACATCATTGCCTTCGTGAGGCATTTAATTTCTGTTGGTTTTCAGAGGTCTCAGCTTTTCTCCTAGAGGATGAAAATGATCTCTCTTTTTCCTCCGCTCAGAAATTCAAGAATGTTCTCCGCCTACCATACTTTTTTAATTTTACTCAGTACAAATTCTTATTAACTGGAATCTCCCTGCAACCCACCATATCACATATTGTTCATTACATAAATAAAATTTAAAAAACACATTTATTTAATTTATTTACACATTTATTTTTTTTTCTTTCTTTTTATTAATAATACTTTCACATTCTCTTCCTACTTTCTTTTGCAGACTATGTGGAACCTAACAACGAATACGCAGTATTGCAGCGAGGCTTTAATGCTAATTAAAAAAGTGCATCAAAACATTTCTTTTCACAACTTCTTACAATAATTATAAAACAAATAATTCAGAAGAACAAACGAGAACGAAACGTCACGACAAAAACAATATGATTAAAAACAATACTTAATAACAGAGAATCAGTGCCAAGCTGAAGCGGGCCGAGCAATTTCAAATAGAATTAAACGACCTCATTTTTAAACTCGAAATAGTTACTAAAAATAGTTACGTGGACTAGTATTTAGCTGCTACTGCCGCTAAATACACATCCTTGTTTGTTTTGTCTCTCTCCCTCGTCTCTCGCCTCTCTCACTCTCTGTGTGTGTAGACAGCCCCTTAGCACAAATGTCTTATCACGGCAAATCGCAAACGCATTCCATGCCCCATCCACGCCATCGCCGTCCCCATTGTTGTACAACAAAAATACCAAAGAGACAGCATCAGTTACAAATGCCCGCCTTTCAGATGTTACGCTTTCTCCTGCTGTTGGTCTGCTACAGTTGTCATCCGTCCCAGACTCGAGCTGCTGTGGAGTATAGCGCCCAGCTGAGTCAGTGTTACGACAAAGCATATGGATTTGGAGGTTACCATTTATTTAATGACTCGCTAGCGCCGGGCAACCAGTTGATATGGGATTCGGTTAATGGCACGGGATTGCTGAGGAATGGCAGTGAAATATTGAGGACTTTGGCACAGCCGGAGGCAACGACGGCACCGGGTTGGAAGTGTTGTTGTTGGAATGCAACGAATTCGGTAAGTAGAGAAGTGGGTATGGGGTGTGTGTGGGTGCGGAAAACAAATAAAGATAAATGATTTTAATATAAGTTCGAAATTTTTATTCATAAGTTGTGTATGAACATATATACATGACAGCCAATTCAAAACTATCTTTTTTTTTTTTTTTTTTGAATCCAAAATTGTGCCTTTAATAATTTCTCTATGAAATATTCTGTAAAAAAGCACGTTTTTTTTCTTCTTAAAAAAATCTCGAGTGTGGTTCCAATAATCCAAAAAAAAAAATTCTTCAAAATCCACATTAATGGCTTTCATAAATCTCCAAAAATCTCCAAAAATCAATGATTGCGGATCCAATATTTCCCAAATTAATATTTAATAAAAAATTCTTCAAAATCCTCGAATTGGTATAATTTCCCTTTAAAGTGACCCGTAAAATTGTCGATTATGGTTTTAAATGGTACCTCTTTATTACAATTTTTCAAAAGGGTTTCAAAATTAAAAAAAAATATTATGTTCAAATCCACTTCTTAGAAATCTAAAAAAAATAAAAAGAAGTGGAAAAATATCATTCGGATTTGCCGACAAATGATATACCCTCATATTTGAGGGTAGTATTGGAAATGTGTACCAAGTATGAGAACCGTACTAAATGGAGGTGGTTTCGGAAATGTGTACTATAATTGTACGAAAATTGCTAAATGCTACCAATTTTGGTATTCGGTGAGGGGGTAGTGCTGAAACCCTCAATTTTAATATTGACAATTGTTCGAAAAATACCAAATAATACTAAATTAAGTATTAGGTGAAGGAATAGAGGTTAAATCCTTAAATTGGATATGGATGTCGCTGTTACTGTCTGTGGTTGAGATATGGATGTGGTTTTGGATATGCGTACTATAATTGTTCGAAAAGTACTAAATGGTACTAAATTTGGAATTGGGTGGGATATTGAGGTCTCCGTTGGTATGTGGAATTGAGATATGGATGTCTACTAAAATTGTACGAAAAGTACTTAATTGAACTAAATGGGAATCTGGGTGAAGGAATCCCGAAATTTGATTTTGAGGTCTCTGTTGGTATCTAAGTTTGAAATATGGAGGTGGTTTTGCAAAATCGTGCTATAATTTTGGGTTTTTGCAAATTTGAAGTTTAAAGTTATGAAATATTGATGACTCTGTTCGTATCAGGTGTTTAGACATGGATGTGGTTTAAGAAATGTGTACTGTAATTGTTCGAAAAGTGCTAAGCGGTACTATATTGGGTATTGGGAGCAAGGAAGGTGCTGGTAATCTCTGATTTGATATTGAGGTTTCTGTTGATATCTGGAATTGAGATATAGTGGTGATTTGGAAAATGTGCACTATCATTATACGAAAAGTACAGAATGATACTATATTTGGTACTGACTGAAGGGATAGGGCTGGGATTGAGGTCTCTGTTGGTATCTAGAATTGAGATATGGAAGTGGTTTTGGAAAAATAATAAAAACTGTAAATAGTATGAAACGTACTAAATAATACTTACTTTGATTCTGGGTGCATGGATATGTCTGGAATTCTCAAATATGATATTGAGATCTCTATTGGTATATGGAATTGAGATATCGAGGTGATTTTGGAAATGTGTACTTTCATTTTACGAAAAGTACTAACTAGTACTAGTTTTGGTATTGGGTGAAGGTATATGGTTCAGATATGCTGGTGTTTTCGAAAATGTGTACTATAATTGTACGAAAATTACTAAGTGCCACTAAATTTGATATTGGGTGATAGGACAATGCTGAAATCCTCAAATTTGATATTAAGGTCTCAGTTGGTAGCTGAGAGATATGGCTTTAAAAATGTGTACTATAAATGCTCAAAAAGTAGAGTAGATCTGGAATCCCGAAATTTGATATTGATATGTTGGTATACGGAATTGAGATGTGGATGTGGGTTTGAAAATGCGTACTATAATTGTTTGAAAAGTACTAAATGTTCCTAAATTTGGATGTGGGTTTATTGTGCAAGTATATAATACCCTCCTAGGTAATATTCAAATATTCAAGTAGGATGTATGATGTGTTGATTACAAAATTTTGTCATACTGAATAGACTGTGAATTTTGAGTACCAAAAATCCCTATCAATAACTATTGGAACAAATTAAAAATGTTAAGGTGGATTTTCCGCTGACGAAGTAACGGAGACTCTGTATAGGGGTGGTACCACAAGAGGTGGTCTGATGTATTCCATTTTTCTAGCCGATCTTGTGTTAGTATAAATATTCGGATGTATGAAGTAAGGAAGGAGGATCGGTTGCTTATTTCGCATTTTATGAGTCTTTTTACTTTTTTTTATTCGAAATTTTCACTCTTTTTGGAGTGGACCAATATATCCGATCTTCACAGCAGATATTGTTTTATCTAACATGTTGGGATGTGATTAATTTCAATAGAATCTGATGCTTATTTTGCATATTATGAGCATTGGGAATATTCTACCAGATGGAGTGGGTCCATATATCCCATCTCTACACCAAATCTTGTGGAAAGATCTGATTCTTATTTCACACGGCTGGACGAACATCCCTAGATCGACTCTAAATGGGTCTGAAACGTTCTTTGGATGAGGCACGCTTTGGCCTTATGAAATTATATATTCCCTCAGCAGCCATATGGCTGAGAGTTGATCGAGCGAGCTAGTTCCGTGCATTCGGGTCGTTTGTATGAAAATTCAGCGTATGAGTGATATGAAATTTATAAAATCACTCATACGTTTAGGAGCTGGTGTACTGAACTAGCATGAACTAGTTTTACACAATTCTAACTGAGAGTATAACAATAATCAAGGGTGACGTATACGTAACAGTAAAGTGTTGTGATTATTTTAGCCACATTTTTCAACGGAATTGTCTGAAAATCTTTCTGATTATTTCACAACAACACAACACCCCCCCCCCCACCCCCACCTGGAAAAGAATTATCTATATAGGACCACCATATTGCATAGGCCCCATACAACTGTACCCTCCGATATTCGCTATTTGGATGATTTTGGCGACATTTTTTGCCGAAATTGTTTCAAATTTCGTATTAAAAGCTCGTAATGGGTACTACAACCTATGACAAAAAATTGTCTGCGCAGGTCCATGTCTTCGTATAGCCTCCATATAACGATTTTTTTCAATTTTTTAATTTTTTAAATTCCTTCCAATGGGATCTTAATGGAGGGAGGGTATTAAAAATTCGACCCAGCAGAACTTAGCTGGTTTTTTTACTTGTATACATTGGTTTCATAATAGCCATAGCGTATGAACTCTTATTTCTGTTTAAAATTTCTTGTCATAAATTTGTAGGAAAATATGCTATTCTTTCAGCAGAAATTGTACGAAATTTTGTTGCTCTTGTTACCGTTAAAAATTCAACAGAGATACGATAATTTAATTAGACTTGGCATTTTGTGATACGTACTCGGAACACTGCACAATAAGCTGTACAGAAGCATATTGGAAACAACCGTGCAAATGTGAAACAATAGAATTTTGGTTGCATGGAGATAGTGGATGTTTCATTAGAAAAGAGGGAACCATTCGAAAGACGCACATGCATATGCTCAAATACATTGAAGTACCGATACTCAAATTACAAAATGAAAGAATGAAAATTTCATTAATGAAGAATATCATATTACGAAATAGCTACAGGAACCATATATTCCGAGGACGATAAGAAATAACGTTACAAAATTTTTCCCAAATTCCCAGAAAACAGGAAAGTAAAATTTTTATTTCCAAATAATTACCATCCATTCTGGTTTCCTTTAAAAATAGCTTCGAAAATTTAATACTCAAATTTCGGTGGATGATAAGGAAAAAAAAGGTTAAAATAAACATTACAATTCCAAGAAACGAGAGTCTATTTTAGTTTGTATTTTTGAAGTAATCTCTTTTCGATACTTTTCAAACCAAAACCATTTTCGGCAATCCATTTCATACAAGTGGGCAGGATGTACATTTTTTAAGGTGATAAGGGGTTATTGCCTTTTCCCAATTAATGCCGCCTCAGCCAAATTCTTGACATTCAAATTGACTTACGGGAACTTGAGGAAATGAAAACGCCAGCATACACAGAGATGGGAAATGGAAATCGATTACTATCAAATATCTCTTCCATTTCGGCCAAAACTTGCTAGGAATTTACCAAAAACACACTCACGATGTTGTATGTAAAGTAACGTTCGTCGAAGACTTTTAACCTTTTCGGTATGTGTATTGGTGTTCTATTCAGTGTTCCGTAGAAAGAAAAGGCTATAGGCAGTTTATTTCGATTAATTGGGAGAGGGAAAATGACTATAAGGCGTATAAGTGTTGTCAGAACGTATACGTAATATGGTTGTCCGAATATCTTAAAAAGACATTTCCAAGAATATTTTTTTTAAAAATTAAGTTGTTAAAATTTTGAGAATGACAAACTCAATATACCCTCCATACTATGGTGGAGGGTATAAAAATAATAAATAAATAAAATAATAATTTTATTTATCTTATACCCATTTTCATACATTTCGGGTTGCCTTTTCGATGCCTCTAAAATCGATAACATTTTATTAATCCACACAAAAGTAAGATAGATGTAAATTTTAAGCTGACAACAGGCAATACCCTTTTCAAATTAATGCCGTAATAAATCTTACCAGTCAGGAAAAACGGAAGTCGATTACCATCAACATCTTTTTTTTTCCGCTTATGCCAACACATTCTACGAATTTACTAAAACATTTACACAATGTTGTACGAGTATGAAAAGAAAGATCGAAGGTTTTCATCCCACTAACCATGCCAAAAGGAATCCTATCTTTCATCAAGAAAACTTAACATTTACTTCTTGAATGCCGATATATGGCATGGATTTACAAATTAATTAAAGTCAATAAAAATCAAGGGTCATACGCAACCTCTGTTTGATTAAATCGAATAGGCTTATCAGACTATGGTGCGTATGAGCGATGACACAACTTATACGTCATTATTGCCAATTTTTTCCAGGGCGTTATAAGAAAGGAATGACTATTACTAAGAGCCTCAATCATTCTTTACAAGAGAATATATATTATTTTTATTGATTTTTAACCTTTAACTGTGGAAGTGAAATTTTTGAACATAGTTTATGACGTGGTGGCAAATTTTACTCCATTTAATTTTATTAAAAATATGTAGTATTTTTTCAGTTATTTACATGTTTCTTTAAGAAAAGATATTATATTTTTTATTAAGAAAATATAGAAAGAATGTTTATGTCAAATAAAACGTGTGCTTTTTATAGGCAAAGAGGAGAAACTTTCAACAATTTTTAAAAAGAGGTAGAATTTACCTCCTCCTCGTTAGTTAGAGGTTAGTGAATATTTTTCCATACAGTTTTTGAAACAGAATCGCATTTTTTATAGAATATTTTTTTTAAGAATAATAATCAAGCCATAAAGTATGTAGATTTATGATTATATTTCTCAAAGGCAAATCGGAGTTTCAAGGACTATTGTAAATACAATCATGGTTTTTAAGGATATTTTCTTGAGGGGCTTTTTGAGAAAAAAAAATCTCCAATTTTAAAGGACATTTTTTAAGGACTTCTGGAGCCACAACATTTATGCTTTGAAGAATTTTCAAAGAGAGCTGATCAAGGAATAACGTATATATTTAAAAAAAATATATATTGTCAAGGCTCAACAGTCCATCAATCGTGGAATTTGTGTACCCTCAACCATATGACTACAGAGGGTATTAATCGTTTGATACGACCAAAACGTACCTTATCCAAATAATGATTTTATTTTCTATTAATTCTCTGAAATAAATCAGTTTCAGGATATTTGAAGTCGATCATGAGGTGTCTGTCCGTCTCGTTGTCTGCGCACGATAACTCTGGAAGGGAGTATCCAATTTGGTCCAAACCAAAGATCATAAATTTTGTCTCAACTTTGGACGTTTAATATTTTCATCAGTACTATGTCATATTTTAAAAGGGGCAATATTGACCCACTACTTCTGATCCCCCCACTTCATGGCTATTCAAAATGTTGGCCCCGTTTTTTTAAATAGCCATGAAGCTCATAAAACGCGAAATGAACATTCTATTGAGTTCAAACTCGTCACATCCTAATATTTTAAATAACGCAAGATTTATTTTGAAGGTGGAATTTATCGGACTACTTTTTCTGGTACCTCCCCCAAAGGTTTGACCAATTAGGAGGGTCATAAGATGCATCTAGTTCTTAACACATGAAAACATGATCTGATGTTAAGGTGGTAGATAGCGCCCAACTCTTTCTGGTACTTCTCTCATCAAGAGGTTAAAATCTTACAAGAAACGCTCATAAATTGCCGAATAACCATCCGATTAATTATTACATAAAGCGAATAGTCAATCCTAGATACCAACAGAGACCTCAATATCAAATTCCGGGATTCCACCCAATACCTATCTTAAGTCCATTTTGTACATTTATAGTACACATTTCCGAAACCACTGTCAAATCTCAAACATAGTTACCATCAATACTCTAAATATCAAATTTCAGACCTATAATCTTTATCCTTTCACCCAATAACCAAATATAGTACCAAACAGTATTTTTTGTACACATTTCTGAAATCAACTCCATATGTGCAGGCAATACCTGAACAGGGACTCTTATAGCAAATTTCAGTTTTCAAGTACTTCCTGATCATTCAATACCAGATTGTACCAAATATAATAACCTTTAGTGCTTGTAGTACACATTTCCAAAACCACCTCTTCACAACAACCTATCATCAACAGGGACGCCAATTCAAAATTTTAGCTTAACCATAAACTAAATTCTTCCAAAATTAGTACCAGAACAAATTTTGAAATCGCCTGTTCATATCAAACTTATTTTCCAACCTTGATTATCATACCAAGTTTCAAGTTTTAAAGTCTATCCGTTAATATAGTACCAAGCGGTACAATTTTAAAATTTTGGTACCATTCTAGAACTTTTCGTAGCCCAAAATTTTGAATTTCCAAAAATCCTTTGGTATTTCTATTCTGTAATCCATCAGTGACTCTCATTCTAAATTATTAATGTAGCTCATTCCGAGACTCTATATTTTCAGATACTATATATTCCAGATACTATTTTTTTTCGTAAGTTTTAGTACTATTCGTACCCTTTTAGTACGAATTTCTATAAACCCAGCATGATCACACGTCTAATTACCAAAACTGACCCTCATGTACAATTTCAAGATTCTTGTTTCAGTCGTTTCTTCTGGGCGTCGAATGTTTGAAAGCTTATGAAAATACCTATCCAACAAGTGGTCACATGATGGGGTTATTTATAAGCGGTTCGGAAGTTATAATCAAATTGTCGATTTTTTCGACCCGGATTTTTTATAAAACCCCCAAAAAGTGGGAATATGTCCTTTTTTATGATGTCAAAGAAAAGCTGACATTCTTACCATTACAAAATTCTATAATTTGTGCTAATATCTTTTTCGGGTAGGTATTTTCATAAGCTTTCAAAAGATACCTATATTCTCTATATCGGGTAAGTGGATCCAGGTCTAGACCGGTTTTAAACCCGAATATTCGGGTGAAAAATATGGCGGTCCCGGGTCCATCCTCTTCCAAAAACATAGTTTCCCGGAATCAGGGTAAAAATACCTACCTCTGGAACAAATTTCGAAAAAATAGAAGAGTGGACCGATATATTTTATCTAAGTACCAGATCTTGAGTTTATAAAAATATTTGGATGTGAGTAATTTTATGACAATCGGTTTCTTATATCACATTTTATAAGAGTTATAATTATTCAACATTTTGACCTTTTATGGGGGAGGTACTTGATGGTGTAGACCGATATTGTCCATTTTCCTAGAACTGACGCAAAGATTAGGATTTGTAAAGTTGGAGCAAAATTTGATTATCGTTTTCCTTTCTGTGCAGAAAATATGTTTTTTTTTTTTTTTTTAAGTTCGACCTTTTGTTTGGGAGGTATCGCAAGGTGTAGACCGATCTTAACACCAGCCCTTGGGTTTATAAAAATATTGGGATATGTAAAATTTGAAGACAATCGGACTCTCACATAACATTTTATAAGAGTTGTAATTATTGAAAATTTTGTCCCTTTGCGGGGGAGGAGTGGACCGATTTGTCAATTTTGATACCTGACCTAGCACTGACACAAATATTAGGATTTGCAAAGTTGGAGCAAAATCAGATCATCGGTTCTCCATCTGTGCTGAAAATATATTTTTGGAATTTTTTTTTTTTGTGGAGGAGGTACCAGAAGAAGAGTACCGATGTTTTCCATCTTAACACCAGACCTTGGGTTTATAAAAATATTGGGATGTGTGAAATTTGAAGACAATCGGACTCTCATTTTATAAGAGTTGTAATTATTGAAAATGTTGACCCTTTGTGGGGGAGGTACTTGATGGAGTGGACCGATATTGTCCATTTTGATACCAGACTCCAAATGTTCTGAAACGGATTTGATACAAAGAGGCATAGGGTCTAAAACCGTTATTTCGACTAGGCACGTTTTGGCCATATCAAATTATATATATACCCTCTCTAGCCATATGACTGAGGGTATAAATATGGTTTACTTTGAAAATATTAACAACCTGTCATTAGATTTTGTAAACAAATGGGGAATACGCACATTATCTTCTAAATTCATCAATATGATGAAATGCTGAAAGCTACATGTGTATCTCATATTCAACATTCATTGTTTCAACAGAGAACACAAGTCAGCTTAAAATTCGAATAATGGATTTGAATTTCAAATGGTATTTCAAAAAATGGTATTTCAAAAAAAAAAAAAAAGAAAAAAAAAATCATTTTTTCTTCCTTAATGAATGAACTGGAAATGACATGCAAGTTTTCCCAAGTTTATACAACTATACATATATACCGATATGGAACACATACATAATCACTGATATCAGTCTCCGGCTGACTGGATTCTCTTTTTGCTAATAACCCAGTTGCAGGAGCAACAATCTTGTTTGTTTGCTCCTTTGCACTTAAACTTAAGGACTACTTAACCGCACTGAAGAGGCTATTTAAAAAGTTCATGGAATACACTTTATTTACTCAGTCTGTTTTTCAATGAGCCATTGTTTTTTGTAAATTGTTGTTGTTTTTCTTTATTTTATTTGTTGCAATTTCTTTTTCATGCACAGGATGAAGTTGAGTGCCGTTGTGAAGGTGAAGCCTTATCCCGGGTACCACAAACCCTAACCAATCCCCTGCAAAGGCTAACAATTGCCTCGGCTGGCTTACCACGTCTACGCAATACAGCTTTAAAAGTCTACAATGCATCGCTGTCGGATATGTAAGTTAGTTGTGCATTATTTTTGTTGTTGTTGTCGATTTCTTTTTGTTGTTTTTGTTATTCTTTTTCTGGGTTTCATGGTTATTAGCCAGAGAATATGTGCATCAATATTTATTTATTTATTTTCTTCATCTCTTTTGTTTTTCGTTCCCATGGCATTCCAACAACATACATACGCACAGTGTACTGACAGATCTCAAATACCTGGAGACGATACAGGATGGTGCTTTTGCCAACTTAAGGCATCTGAGGACAATGTGAGTTGAGTATTGAAAATCAATTTTAACAATTTAAATTGCAACATTTGTTTTTTGATTTTCCATTTCAGTTATATATCTCATGCCCCAAAATTGGAGTATTTATCGAAGGATGTTTTCCAGGGTATTTCGGATACCATTAAAGTCATGTAAGTAAAATTTTGAAATTTTCAATTTGTTAAATTGTTGTTCCTTAAAATTTAAACCAGTAAAGAAAGTCTTAAAGTCGGGCGGGGCCGACTTTATGATACCCTACACCACTTTCCTAATTTAGTAGAGCTCCACATAACAATTAAAAGTTTTTTAGGGAGAATTCAATCATACACACTATGATTATAATTATATTTTAAAGTTCAGAGGACTAAATATGCCGAAGCATTTGTATCTTTTAAATTCGGACTTGGTGCAGATATAATTTAAAATTGGATAAAGATCTATATGAGAGCTATATCCAAATCTAAACCGATCTCGATAAAATTTGGCAAATATATTTCTGAGCTGTATTTGATATATTTCCCTGAATATCGTTGTTACGGAGTGCATATTACGGCTGTGGGTAACAAATATGACAAATCGGATGAACAGTATATATGGGAGCTATAGCTATATCTGAACCGATCTTCACCAAATTTGACATACTAGCTTCTAGACTCAATTTGGTCGTAAGTGCCAAATTCCATCCCATTTGGAAAAATATTAAACGTTTGGTGCACGAAAAAATGTAAATCGATCGAAGTTATATATGGGAGATATATCCAAATCCGATACCGATCTCGATGAAATTTGGCAAAGATATTTCTGAGCTGTATTTGATATATTTCCCTGAATATCGTTGTTACAGAGTGCATGTTACGGCTGCGGAGGACAAAAATAACAAATCAGATGAACAATATATGTGGGAGCTATAGCTATATTTGAACCGATTTTGATCAAATTTGGCATACTCATTTTCAGGCCTAATTTGGTTGTATGTGCAAAATTCCATACTATTCGGGCTGATAATACACGTTTGGTGCACAATAAAATGCAAATCGGACGAAGATATATATGGGAGCTATATCTAAATTTTTACCGATTATCTCCAATTTCAATAGAGTTCGTCCTTGGGCCAAACAAATGATCTGTGCAAAATTTCATCTGGATAGGGCAATAAATGCGAACTGTACTTTGGTTACAAAAATACATGGACAGATGAACGGACGGACAGACGGACGGACGGACATGCATAAATCGACTCAGAATGTGATTCTATGCAGATCATGAAAAGGAACTATGGGTCTATCTCGTTTCCTTTTGTCTGTTACAAACAAATACACAAAGACATAATACCCTGACCACCTTGTGGTGTATAATTTTTCCACCTAAACTCGTATGGAAGTGTGTTCTCTTTGCAGGTTCATGGAGCTGTCTTATAAACAGTTGTCTAGGCTATAATAGTTGCTTTTGTTTTTAGACGAAATCATACAGATTTATTTTTAGCAGCGTATACGTTATGACATCACTCATACGCACCCCAGTGCATAAACAGAATGAATGAATTATGTTAAAATAGACAAATCCGCAAAAAAAACGGGTCAATATTTTTGCACAGATGGTGGGAGGAATATTTACTTTAAAATGCATGTGTGTTAAAGACAATGTAATACAAGCAAATAAAACAACGAAAACGTGATAAATGATCGTCAAAACAGCTATACTTAACATCTCTAAAATCTGAAAATTCCGTAATATGGGGGCTATACCTACAATGCATATATTTTTTGAAAGAGAAAATGAAACTACGCTTTTAAAAAATCGAAATGTCAAATTACAGCTGGTTTGGCTGTGAATTGGGGCCGAATCCGTTAAAAACAAAAAAAAAAAAAAAAAAAATAAAATAAAACCAGTAAGGAAAGCTCAAAAGTCGGGCGGGGCCGACTATATGATACCCTACACCACTATGCATATTTAGTAGAGCTCTCGTAAAAAGATTTATACAGGGCATTTCAGAGCTCTATGAGATATTTGGCACAAAATCAAAATCTATCTAATTCTATCGTGCATTTTACGAACTATAGCTACCTCTGAACCGGGTTTCTCCAAATTTTACGTATTAGCTTCTAGACTGGTGATTTGGGCTGATATTGACCATTTAGTGCACATTTAACCCGAAATTGGATGAAGATATATATGAGAGCTATATCCAAATCTGAACCGATTTCGATAAAATTTAAAACAGCTATTCCTGTGCTCCATCTAATACCTGGTACCAAATATCACGGTTGTAGAGTGAGTATTACGAATGTATGGGACTAAAACTCTAAATCGGATGAAACATATATATGGTTGCTATATCTATATCTGAACCGATTTTCACTAAATTTTATATACTTGCTTCTAGGCTGAATTTGGTCCGATGTACTAAAATTCAGTCCATTTGGACTTATATTGGCCATTTGGTGCACAATTAATCCGAAATCGGATGAAGATATATGTGGGAGCTATATCCAAATCTGAACCGATTTCGATAAAATTACAAACAGCTATTTCTGGGCTGTATCTTATATCTGGTACCAAATATCATTCTTGTGGAGTGCATATTACGAATGTGAGAGGCTTAAACACCAAATCGGATGAAAGATATATATGGGAGCTATAGCTATATCTGAACCGATTTTCTCCAAATTTAATATACTTGCTTCTAGGCCGAACTCGGTTGGGTGTGCCAAAATTCAGGTAATTTGGACTGATAGTGGCCATTTGGTGCACATTTAACCCGAAATCGGATGAAGATATATATGGGAGCTATAGCTGTTTCTGAACCGATTTTCTCCAAATTTGTTGTATTTGCTTTAAGGCTAATCTCGTTCACATGTGCCAAAATTCGGGCCATTTGGGCTGATAGTGGCCATTTGGTGGTCAATTAACCCGAAATCGGATGAAGATATATATGGGAGCTATATCTAAATCTGAACCGATTTCGATAAAATTTAAAACAGCTATTTCTGTGCTCCATCTAATACCTGGTACCAAATATCACGGTTGTGGAGTGCATAGTAGGAATGTGAGGGACTTAAAGATCAAATCGGATGAAAGATATATATGGGAGCTATAGCAATATCTGAACCGATTTTCTCCAAATTTGATATACTTGCTTCTAGGCCGAACTCGGTTGGGTGTGCCAAAATTCAGGTAATTTGGACTGATAGTGGATATTTGGTGCACATTTAACCCGAAATCGGATGAAGATATATATGGGAGCTATATCTAAATTTGATCCGATTCTCACCAATTTCAATAGGGTTCGTCCTTGGGCCAAAAAAAATATTGTTTGGAAAATTTCATCTCAATCGGATAATAAATGCGACCTACATTTTGTTCACAAGAATACATGGACAGACGGACGGACGGACGGACTGACATGCATAAATCGACTCAGAAAGTGATTCTATGAAGGTTCTCAAATGTAACTATGGGTCTATCTCGTTTCCTTCTCCATGTTACAAACAAATGCACAAAGACATAATACCCTTACCACTATGTGGTGTAGGGTATAAAAATAGCAGGTACTTTTACGTGGGGACCATGACCTATATTGATTGCTTTCTTTTGCGAGGAGTTTAAAGAAACTTTATATAAAATTTAACCTTATTTAGGTAAAATCTGGGACCAAAACCCTTATATAGGGCTATACCTAATTGTGGACAATACCATCAACATCTATGGCAAATTTCATTCACTCATCTCGAAAATTGTAACTTCTATTTTGAATTTCACAGAAGGAGATCATCAAATCCATTATGAATTGGATGCTGATCACGAAGATATGTAGCTATGCTGTAGTACCGATACCAAACTTCGAATACGAAATTTGAAATAGATTCGGTGAATAATGTGATTTAAACAGACAGACAGAGTGACGGTCATCGTTAAATCGACATAGTATTTTATGGTGATCAAGAATACATATATTTGGTGGGGTCTAAAATGTATATATCGAAATGTTACAAACGGAATGACAAATTCAATATACCTTTAAAAAATCCGCTATTGAGTTAAAAAAAAAAAAAAAATAAAAAATCCAAGATAGGATCAGGATGGGAACTTTTTTAAAAATTCAGTATTGGTTTTCCTAGTCCCTATTTTTTAATACCCTTCACCATCGCATTGAGGGCATATTAAGTTTGTCATACCGTTTGTAACACCTCCAAATATACATTTCAGACCCAACAGAGAATATATATTCTTGAACTGCATAAAATTCTATGTCGATTTATCGATATCCGTCCCTCCGTCTGCCCGTCTATTTGTCTGTGGAATCACTCTAGCTTCCGAACGAAATGAAGTAGGTTGATAAAATTTTACTCAAACGTATATTATGTCTGCAGGACTTTTGGTATTTGGTAATGGGTCATATAGGTCCACGTTTTGGTATAGCCCCCATATCATGGGACCTCCCGATATTCGGTATTTTGGTGATTTAAGTGACGTTATTCACCGGAATTGTTTCAAATTTGGTACTTTAACTTCGTAATATATACTACTGCCTAAGGCAGAGAATTGTTTGTGCAGGTCCACGTCTTCATATGGCCCCCATATAACGGTACCTCCCGATATTTGGTGTTTTGACGACTTTAGCATCATTATGCACTCGAATAGTTTCAAATTTGGTATTTGAAGTTCGTAACGGATGCTTCAGCCTATGGCAGAAAATTGTCTGTGCAGGTACACGTCTTCGTATAGCCGTTATATAAAGATACCTCCCGATATTCGGTATTTTGATAATTTTAGCGACGTTATTCAACGGAATTATTTCAAATTTGGTATTTGAAGTTGGTAATGGATACTACAGCTTATGACAGAAAATTGTCTATGCAGGTCTCCGTCTTCGTGTAGCCCCCATATAACGGTACCTCCCAAAATTCGGTATTTTGATGATTTTAGCGACATTTTTTACCGGAATTGTTTCAAATTTGGTATTTGAAGTTCGTAATAGATACTACAGCCTATGACAGAAAATTGTCTGTGCAGGTCCACGTTTTGGTATAGCCCAATGTAATGGTACCTACATATATTCGGTATTTTGGTGATTTTAGCTCATTATTTACCGATTTTTTTTGTTAAAGTTTCGCATTAGAATATTGGAATGGGTTATGACAAAAGTTGCCTATGAAGGTCTACGTCGTCGTATAACCCTAGAATAACGGCTACATTCGGAATTTTTAAGATTTTAACAGAATTTTTAACGGATTTTATTTTTTTTTTTTTTGAAAATGCAAAATTCGTTCTAAATGGTGGAGGGTATTCAAAGTTCGGTCCGGCAGCACATACTGATTTTTGACTTGTTTTATTTAAAAATTCTTCGAATAAAAAAAAAATATTTTGAAAAAAATCCACGATTATTGTTCTATAGTTCTACAAAATAATTCTTTGGAAAATTTCAAGATTATTGTCCTAATAGCCTTACAAAAGCTTATTTAATAATGTCACGTTTATAATCCTAATAGTATCTCAAAAAATCATTATAAGTTCCATGGTAGATTTACAAATAGACCTGCAAAACAAATCTTTAAAAAAATTCGTTATGAATTGATTGTAATGCAAATTTTTAATCTTTAAAAGTCCTATAAAATTTTTTTGTTTAACTTTTTTTTTTAAATATCTAATGGCCCTACAAAATAATCCTTAAAAATCCCCAATTATTGGCCTCCGCTAGAATTTTTTTTTTTTTGAAAATCCACGGTCATTGGCTCAAAAATTTGCACACCTTTACTTCTTGCTAAATAATCCTTCTGTATTTCAAAACGCTATTAAAACTCTGATAATTTTTTAAAAATATTATATAAATAATGTATAATTTTAGCTCGGGATAGGTCGCTGTCTCATGAATTCAAACTCATGATTTTTCTGACGAACCAAACAAAAAATATACTTTAAAATACCATCATTGCAGATTTGAAAATCTTTAATATATAAGCATTTGACAGTTAATGCATGGCCAGTGCTATAATTTAGCCATTGAAAAATTGTTTATAAAAATTTAGATTTTCTATTTGTCATTTTTTTTAATTGTCCTTCAAGAAATTAAAATAGAACCCCGCTGAGTCATGCTTTTAATATAATTTCTTTACACACATACACACATAAGAGTATTATCCATGTCATTACATCCGTCAACAATAATTACTTTCAATTTTCTTCGTCCTTTTGATGAATCACCCTCATCGCCAACATCAGTCATGTCTGTGTGTGTGTGCGAGAGTGTGTTTTTTTTTAATTATACAACAAAGCAAGGGTCAAAAGTTCAATATTAAATTTCCATTTTTTTTTTCATATTCATGATACTTGGTTTTAAGTTTCCAATTATGGTAATTATCGATTTGAAGCTAAGTGCAGGGTTTTCGATCCACTCGCTGCTCTTTGAACTTAATTGAACGTTTTATGTGCACTTTTTTTTAACACATTTAGATTGATTGCCTTACCATACAGAGAGAGAGAGAGACAGAGCGAGAGAGAGAGTAGTTGTAGTTGTTTTTATTGCCAGAGTTTAGTTGTAAAACAATAACAAGTGTTTTAATTTGTTGTTGCCGTTGTCATCTGCAGGCTGTGGCATTCACAGACATCCACGTGTTCATGGGCATTTGAGTGTTAGGCAATGCGAATAAGAATTCGAGGACACAAACAAGCTCTACAATACTATAAATATTTTATAAGAATTCTCTGCTGGAGGCATATAATTATAAATGTATATAGAGTAGGAAAGGCCAAGTTATAACTGGTTATTTCTACATTTTTTTAAGGAATATTAGACCATAAATTTTGAAATTTTTAAGGAATATTTTTCAAGGACCCCCCATCGTATACGTTAAGGGAAATTAGAGCTAAAATTTTGGAATTGTTGGGGATTTACTTTAAAAACAAAGCCGTAATAATCATGGATTTTTAATAATATTTGCTAAAGGACTAAATCGAGATAATAGTGGATTTTTGAGGAATATTATTTAAGGGCCAACCAAGAATATTTTTCAAAAGTATAATCAAGGCTCTAAAAATGGATTTTAAAAATATTTATTTTCAAAATCATCAAATCTATAATTGTGAATTTTTAGAGAAAATTGTTTTAGAACTAGCAGAACTATAATCGTAGATTTTAAGGATGTTTTATTGAAGGACCCTCAAGGCTACAACCGTGTATATTTTATCATATTTTTTCAAGGACCATAAAAAAACTTTTTTCTCGTGGATTTGTATATCCTCCACCATACATAGTATGGAGGGTATACTACTCGTCATTCCGTTTGTAACTCATCGAAATAATAATTTTAGACAAAGTATATATATTCTTGATCAGCGTAAAATTCTAAAATGATTTATTCCTGACCGTTCGTCTATCTGTCGGTCTGTTGTAATCACGCTAGAGTCAAAACGAGTAAAGATAGGAAGCTAAAATTTCAAGTACGAAAATGGGTTATATCGGTCCACGATATCGCATAGGCCCCATATAAGTGTACCTCCTGATATTTGGTATTTTGATGATTTTAGCCACATTTTTTAATGAAATCTGTGGCATTCTACGCAAGAAGTTCCTTCTGAGTACCTAACCCCCTGAAAGAGTATTGTCTACATAGGTCTACGATAGCCCCCATATAACAGTACCTCCTGACATTCGGTATTTTGATGTTAGTCACATTTTTCAATTCCACACAAGGAGTTCTCTGAGAGTAGTCTGAAAATCCACAGAAGTAGTTCCCTTTGAGTAATTTACCCCCTGAAAGAGAATTGTCTATATAGGCACCCTTGTAACGCCACCCCGAAATATTCAGTATTTCCAGGATTTTCGCAACATTATTCACCGCAATTGCGTCAAATTTCGTATTTGAAGTTCGTAATGGGTACTACGACCTATGACGTAAAATTGTCTATGCAGGTCTACGTTTTAGTATATCCCCCATACAACGATACCTCACTATATTCGGTACTTTGATGATATTAACGACATTATTCACTAGAATTTCGTAAAATTTCGTATTTAAAGTTCGGAATCTACAACCTATTACAAAAAAAAAAAAAAAAAAAAATACTTATAGCCCCCATATAAAGGTTTTCATTAGAGCGGCATTTTTCGACGGATTTTTTTTTAAATATTCAAGCTCCTTCCGAATTGTGGACTTAGCTGCTTCTTCACTTGTTTAAGATAATTTTTTCCAAGGCTCATCAAGAAGATCATCAACTTTTGCAAGGCTCAGCTCTGATTTTAATAGGGTATTTTAAGGAAATTTTTTTAATTTTTAAAATAATTTTTTCAACGATCATCAAGACTATAATGGTGGATATTTTAAGATAATTATTGAAGGACATAAGTGGTTATAATTCAAGGACCATCAAGGCTATAAACTCTGATTTTTGCAAGGTACAACCCTGATTATAATTTGTTTGAAGGATCGCAATGGAAGCAATCGTGGATTTTAAAGATAATGTTTTTAAAGATCATCAAGACTATAATCTTGGTAACTTAAAAATAACTTATTTAGGTAATTTTTGAAGGGTAGTAGAGTTTATAATTCAAGGACCTTTAATTAAATTTACCTTTAATTTAAATTTTTTCAAGGATCATCAAAGTTATAATCTTTTATTCCTAAAAATAATTTTTTAAGACCATTTTTTCATGGATCATCAAGGCCATAGTCGACGATACTTTAAAATAATTATTTCGAGGATCATTGCAAAATTTCATCTCAATCGGATAGTAAATGTAACCTGCATTTTGTTCACAAGAATACATGGACGGACGGACGGACTGACTGACATGCATAAGTCGACTCAAAAAGTGATTCTATGAAGATCCTCAAATTAACTATGGGTCCATCTCGCTTTTTTCTCCCTGTTACAAACAAATGTACAAAGACATAATACCCTTACCACTATGTGGTGTAGGGTATAAAAATGAAGGACTAATATTTGATTTTTGTAAAGAATATTTTTTTAGGTCATGGATCAATGGCCATAATTTTTTTTTTTTGAAAAAGAAAAATTTTTGTCACCAGCAATCACTTAATCAATTAGGGAATTTAAAAAAAAAACAACATTTTTTTCAAAGTCCAAAAGCGCTATTCTCATGAATTTTGAGTGAGCTTTTTTCTAGGCCATAAGTTAATTTTTTCAAATACCTTCAAAGCTATAATTATAATTTTTTTAAGATACTTGTTTAAAGATCCCCCAAGGACATAAGTAGGGGAATACTTCGGTCCACTCTATAGTCTTAAGGTCTCCTAAACCTAAACAAACGTAGCGCGTCAAATAGCTTCTAAACCGAACAATAAACTATTTTATTTGCTCACCATGCCACTAACTTTATTTTAAACGCTATGTATTATAAAAAATAACAACAACAAAAATAACATCAACAACATCATGTTGAGATTATTTGCATAGCTAACAAGTGGTCCCGGTATATGCGTAAAACTAGAGCAGAAGGATGAGTTCAATAACAAAGTGCGGTGCAGATTAGTTGTGCAAACCAAAAAATGTGTTGATGTGCATCTGGGTGTGTGTTTGGAGGTTAGTTTATGTACAAGTTTAACTATAAATATCTAAAAGCAAACAAACACACACGCAAAGAGAGAGAGAGAGAGAGAGAGAGGGAGGGGAGAGGGTTAGTAATTGTTTGCCAAGTGTAAACATATGCAATGGATTAGTAAATTATTTTTGAAATGAATCGTCAAGTAGAACTCGGCCACTTGTCAATGATTTGTTACATCGAAATGATAGAGAGATTGATGTTAGTGGCTAATATTGTGCTGTTAATTTAGAAAATGTTTTTAATTATTTACTACGAAATGCCCACTCAGTTGTAAAATGAGAGTAGGTATTCGTTGGAATTTGATAGTGTGGGAAGAAGAGCTCTTCATACATACACATAGTTTTTTTGGTTAGGTGTTTTGTATACGAGTTTTAAAATCATAAAATTTATTTATGAACAAAACTCAAACTACCGGAAATGGTACAAATTAGTTTCAGCTCTTCTTGTGTGAAAAATCATAAATTATGTTTAATAAAAAATGTTTTTTTTTATCATTAAAATTTCTTCTATTTCATCTTTTTCAGACGTATTATAAATAGCGGTTTAACAACAATACCCGACTTAACCTATTTGCCATCGACAAATATACTGCAAATGATGTAAGCATAATATTTCAAAATATTTTATTTTAAATTTATTTATTTATAATAATAATAATAATAATAATAATAATAATAATAATAATAATAATAATAATAATAATAATAATAATAATAATAATAATAATAATAATAATAATTATTATTATTATTATTATTATAATTATTATTATTATTATTATTATTATTATTATTATTATTATCATTATTATTATTATTATTATTATTATTATTATTATTATTATTATTTTGTATTATTATTATTATTATTATTATTATTGTTATCATTATTATTATTATTATTATTATTATCATTATTATTATTATTATTATTATTATTATTATTATTATTATTATTATTATTATTATTATTATCATTATTATTATTATTATTATTATTATTATTATTATTATTATTATTATTATTATTATTATTATTATTATTATTATCATTATTATTATTATTATTATTATTATTATTATTATTATTATTATTATTATTATTATTATTATTATTATTATTATTATAATTATTATTATTATTATTATTATTATGTTTATTATTAATATATATTTTTATAATTTTTATTATTATTATTAATGTTAATAATAATATTATTATTTTATTAATATTAATGTTATTTTTCTTATTACTATTTTCGTTATTATTATTATCATTTTTATTATTATTATTATTATTATTATTATTATTATTATTATTATTATTATTATTATTATTATTATTATTATTATTATTATTATTATTATTGTTATTATTATCATTGTTATTATTATTATTATTATTATTATTATTATTATTATTATTATTATTATTATTATTATTATTATTATTATTATTAATATTATTAATATTAATATTGTTATTATTATTATTATTATTATTATTATTATTATTATTATTATTATTATTATTATCATTATTATTATTATTATTATTATTATTATTATTATTATTATTATTATTATTATTATTATATTAATATTATATTAATTAAAAAACACTTCCCTTTTTCCTTTCAGAGATCTCGATAATAATCACATAACTCGAATTGATTCAAAATCGATAAAAATAAAGACTGACCAATTGTAAGTATTTTAAAAGTTATTATTATTTGATTTTTTTATTTTTTTAACAATTTTTTTTTATTAATTTTTTCAGAATTTTAGCAAATAATTACATAAATTACATAGATGATTCAGCATTTTATGGCTCTCAAATAGCCAAACTGTAAGTTGAGTTTTACAAAGAACCGAAAATTGTATATTTATTTTCTTTTACTTAAATTAATAAAAAATCGTTATAATAAATCTAATAACCTACCCCCATCCCCTTTAATTGCAGCATTTTAAAAGAAAACCGCAATTTGCGAGAAGTCCATCCAAATGCATTCAATGGCATGAGCATGCAAGAATTGTAAGTATCAAATATAATTTTATACCCTCCACCAACAAAAGTATTAAAAGTCCGGGCCGGCCGAACTTACCTGCTTTTTTACTTGTTATAATTATATATAAACATCAGAAAGTCCTTGTGGAGGATCAAAAAGATCTCTACCGGGAGTGTTTTTAGATAAACTAAAGATAGGTTTTATAGACGCAAGGGATGGAATTTTTACAGGCCGTATTGACGTGTTGGGGATTCTTTATAGATGAGCGGGATAGACTCTATATAAGGGGAGGCAGTCTCTATAAACGAGCGGAAGACAGCAGTATTTATAGAATAATAGAAGGGACTCATTAGTGTCGTGAACTGAGGGTCTTCATAGACGAGGGTTGAAGGGAGTCTTTTTAAACAATCTGGGATGATTTTTTATAAGGGAGCAGGATAGAATTATTATAAGTGAGTAGGAAAATGTCATTATACGGGCACGAAAACCGCCCTTGTGGAAGCCTTGGGAAAGTATTCATGGGCCAGCTATAGAGAGTCTTTATAGACGAGCTGGAGGGTGTCATTCTAGAAGAGGGCAGGATGATCAATGCTAGTTGGTCATTTAGACTAGCTGGAAACAATCGTGCCTTTTTAGACGAGTCAGTAATTATTTTTTGATGAACTTGTGTTGATTGAGTCTTTTTAGACGAGTTGGAGCACAGTGAGTCGGTTTAGACGAGGCCAACTAGTCTCTTTCGACGATCTGGTGGTTTAGACGAGCTGAATGTCAAAGAGTCGAAGCGGAGGCTCTAGGCCATAGAGCCTTTTTAGACGAGCAGGTGGCCAGGATATTTTTTTTACGGATCTGGAGCCCAGTCGGCCTTTTTAGACCAGTTGTAGGCCAGAAAGTGTTTTAAGACGAGTATTCTTAGATATATTGGTGGCCACAAAGCCTTTTTAGACGAGTTGGAGGCCAGAAAGTCTTTTTAGATGACCTGGAAACCAGAAGTTTGTTTAAACGTGTTGGAGCCAAGTGAGTCGTTTTAGACGAGGTGGAGCCCAGTGAGTCTTTTTAGACGATCTGGAGTCCAAAGAGTCTTTTTAGACGAGCTAGAAATCATGAAATATTTAAAACGAGTTTGAGGCAGGGAAGTCTGTTTAGACTAGGTGGAGGTCAGGGGGTCTCTTCACACGAGCTGGAGGCCAGTAATTCTTTTTATATCAGTTGAAGCCCAGTGGGTATTTTTAGACAAAGTGTAGGCCAATAAGTATCTTCAGAAAATCGGTGAGTCTTTTTAGAGTTCTTTTTAGACGAGCTGGAGATCAGGGAGTTTTCTTAGATGAGCTGGAGGACAATGAACCTTTCCGACGAGTGAGAGTGGTGAAGGAGTCTTCATTGACGATCTGTGAGTCTTTTTATACGAGTTAGATGCCCAATAATCTTTAGATGAACTGGAGGCCAGATAGACTTTTTAGACGAGTTGGTGATCAGGGAGTCATTTATACGAGTTATTAAAACTAGTTGGAGGCCATCGAGTCTTTTAAGTCGAGCTGGAGGCATGAGAGTTTTTTTTAGAAGAGCTGAATAGTCAGGGAGTCTCCATAGACTAGTAGAAAGGCGAGGGAGACTAGTTAGACGAACTGAAGCGCGATAAAGTCTCTTTGGACGAACTGAAAGTTAAGGAGCTTCTATAGGCGAGCTAAAGGACAAGTGAGCCAGTTTATGCACTTTGTAGGATTATATAGCCATTATAGATGAGCTAAAAGGTCGGGGAGCCTTTGTAGGCGAGTTGACACTTTACGAAGCCTTTATAAACAAGCTGAACGTTCAGGGAGCATCTAGAGGGTAGTTAAAGGTCTGAAAGCCTCTATAGGAAATATTAAAGGTCAGAGAACCATTATTGCCTAACTGATGGGTCAGAGAGGCTCTATGGGCGAACTAAAGGGTCAGAGAGACACTATATGCGAGCTGATGGGTCAGGGGGCCTCTATAGGCGGGCTGAAGGGTTAGAGAGCCTCTATGGTGAATTTTAGGTCAGGGAACTTCTATAGCCTAACTGAAGTTCAGGGAGCTTCAATAGCCTAAAAGAAGCGTCAGAAAGGCTCTGTAGGGGAGCTAAGGCGTCAAAGAGCTTCTTTAGGCGATCTGAAGCGTCTTAACCATTATAGGCGAACTGAAGGTTCCGAGAGTCTCTATAGGCGAGATGAAGCCTCCGAGACCCTTTATAGGCAAGCTGAAGGTCAAGGAATCTCAATAGGCGAATTGAAGGTCAGAGGAGCGCCAGAGAGCCTCTTTAGGCGATCTTTAGCGTTAGAGAACCATTTCAGGCGAGCTGATGTGTCAGGTAGTTTCTATAGGCGAATTGAAGGTCAAGGAGCTTCTATAGGCGAATTAAAGCGCCAGAAACCCTCTTTAAGCGAGCTGAAGCGTCAGAGAGCCTCCCTTTTTAGAAGAGTGAACTCAATACGATGTCCTTTTTTCTATCTTTTTAATAATTTTCCCATCTCATTTGTGTTTTTCTTCTACCCCCCACCCAGAGATCTCTCCAGTACATCGTTGGTGCGTTTGCCCTCAGCCGGTCTGCAGGATATTGAAGTGCTGCGTATTGAAAATACGCATACACTGAAAACCATACCATCCATTTATAACTTTAAGGTAAATATCGATAGAAAATTGAAGGAAAAAAATACTTCCGGAAATTTATGGAGACACAACAAAAGAAGACAAATTGAATCCGCCAGCATTACTTATTTCTATTTATCATTCCAAACTTTGTTTCTTCCGTCTGTTTGTATTTCGTCTCTTTCAGAATTTACAAAAGGCTCATTTAACACATTCCTTTCATTGTTGTGCTTTTAAATTTCCCTCACGTCACGATCCCCGGCGACATGCGGAACGTATGAAGGAAATCGAAAAATGGCAACAACAATGCATCAATAAAAACAAAGATGCCAATAATTTACAAAAATTGGAGAAATTCACACAAAACAATGGAGTCCCAGAGGACTATGGCGAGATGCGGGATGCCATGGCGGGAGGAGGTGGAGGAGGAGAAGAAAATGCAGAATTTTTCAAAGGTACTTGGTCAACGCCACAGGACGATTTGGGCGCCACTGCTGGTGTATGGAAACGTACGACACATGAATTTCCGGTTACCGGTACCACAACAACTACTGGTGATGGCACATCAGCAATAACAACAACTTCCTCCTCTTCCTCTCCGCTGGATGAAAACAAAATCAATTTGTTAACAAATATCAATAGCATTCTATACAGGTATGTGTGTGTCAACATGCATGTGTGTGAGTGTGGGGTAATAATAAAATTTGTCCATTGGATGTGTTGTGATTGTTGATTTCGACTACTGCTGCTGCTGCTGGGGGTGTTCCTTTCATAAATTTAAACAAATATTTACTGATGTTGAACATACACTTCGAATGCCAGATATTGATAATAGGAAAATATTATCTGGCACAGGATATTTTAGGTAGAGGAAAATATAAGGGACGTTTAAAAAACAGAAAAACGGAAATTTCTATAGACGAGCTGAAGGCAAGGGGTCTCATTTGATGAACTGAAGGTAGGAAGTCTCTATGAGTGAGCTGAAGCATCAGGAGCCTTTAAAGGCGGCCTGAATGTCAAGGAGTCTCTTTTGGAGAGTTGAAGATCAGGCAGCCTCTATAGGCGAGCTGAAGTATCAGGAGTCTCTATAGGCGAACTGAAGCATCAGGAGTCTCTGTAGGTGAGCTGAAGCATCAGTACCTTCTCTTTTGGCAAGTTAAAGATCAGGCTTCTATAGCCGAGCTGAAGCATCAGAAGTCTTTATAAACGAACTGAAGCATCAGGAGTCTCTATAGGCGAGCTGAAGCATCAGGAGTCTCTATAAGCGAGCTGAAACATCAGGAGCCTATATAGGCGAGCTGAAGCCTCAGGAGCTTCTATAGACGAACTGAAGTCTCAGGAGTCTCTATAGGTGAGCTGAAGCATCAGGATTCTCTATAGGGAATCTAGGGCATCAGAAGCTTCTATAGGTGAGCTGAAGCATCAGGAGCCTCTACAGGCGAGCTGAAGCATCAGGAGTTTCTTTTGGCGAGCTGAGGCCTTTGTAGGCAAACTAATATCAGCGATCCTCTATATGCGAACTGAAGGTCTGGAAATCTCCACAGGTGGCCTCTTAAACCGAACCAAAGGTGAGGGTGTCTCTTTAGATGAGCAAGAGGTTAGGGAGCCTCTATAGTACATGGAGTCTCTACAGGCGAACTGAAGATCAGGGATCCTCTGCAGGCGATCTGAAGGGTCAGGCAGGCTTTATAGGCGATCAGAAGCTTCAGGAAACAGAATTGTTAGGGAGCCACTGATTCTTCATAGACGATCTGAAGGCCGGTGGACTTTATAGGCGAGATGAGGACCAGAGATGTTTTATAGATCAGCTGAAGTCATGGAAGCTTTTCCATACGAGCTAGAGGCTAGGGCGACCTTATAGACAAGCTTGGGCCATAGAGTTTATATACGTGCCTCTTTAGACAAGCTGAAGGTGAGGGAGCCTCTTCATGCAAGCTGAAGATCAGTGGAACTTTTTAGGCAAGCTGAAGACCAGAGAGCCTTTATAGGCGAGCTAGAGGCCGGAGAGCCTTTATTGGTGAGTTTGAGGGAGGGAAGTCTATAGGTCAGTTGGAAACCTGTGAGTTTCTAAAGGCCAGTTGGACGCCTGGAAGTCTTTATAAGTGAACCTAAGGTGTAGTGAAGATGAGCTGAACTCAGTCTCTATTGACGAGATGAAGGACTGGAAGTTTCGACATACGAGGCCAAGATTAGGGAGTCTCTATAGACGAATTGAAGACCAAGGAGTTTTTGTAGGCGATCTGAAGGGCCGGAGAGCCTTTATGGGCGAGGTGTTTGGTCAGGTAGCCTCTATAGGCGAACTGGAGGTTTGGGAACCTTTGCAGGCGAACTGACAATCAGGAATCCTCCATTGGAGAGCTGAAGGCCGGGGAGTTTCTACAGGTCACTTGAAAGCCTGGGAGCCTGAGCAGGCGAGCTGATGGTCAGGTAGTCTCTATAGACTAGTTGAAGGTCTGGAAGTTTCTGCAGACGAGACCAAGAGCAGGGACTTTCTAAAGGCGAGTTGAAGGCCAGAGGCTTCTGTAGGAGAGCTTAAGCCTAGGAGTCTCTACAGGAGAATCTATATAGGCGAGCCCAAGACAAGGAATCTTTATAGGCGTCTTAAGCGTCAAAGAGCCGTCACAGACTAGCTGATGGCGGGAACTTTCAGATCTTTCTTCTGTTCGACTATATGGTCACCCTATTTGCTCTCTGAGAGTTCTATTTCCATAGGAGATCTCTCCGAGAGCATTTCTCTGGAAGAGGCGCTCTCTAAAAGTTTCTTTTTATAAAAGAGCAGCTTTTCGAGAACTCTATATAGCTTTGAAATTAAGCTCTCCGATTGCTCTCCAATGGAATGTATGGACTCTTCTATGGAATCAAAGCTCTCAGAGAGTTCTCCTTTGGAAGAGGAAGTGCCTGAAAGTAATTATATAATTAATGGATGTAAAGGCAGTAGGGTGATTTCATAGTCGACTAAATTAAATCCTGAACAGATAGAACAGATAATATTTTGTTGTGTTTTTTTTCTCTTCAAACAGAAAGTTATCTGGGAAAATTCCCGGAAAACATTTCAGTTTTGTTTTTTAATTTTCATTGAATTTTTTTTGTACTGAACGGCAACATAATAATTTCACTTTAAAACTTGAACATGAAAACATAGCTCAACAGGTGTTTTGGACGGTGTGAGTGTTGGTGACATTTGAACTTTGACTCGGAGTGGGCTACCACCAAATGGGAGGCTCACTAGAAATCACAGCTATGGAATATTTCCCCTTTGGTAAATATTTGTTTCAACAAAATCACTGTTGACATTCATTCAGAACATTGTTAAGGCCTCTTGAATTCGAAAGGATGCTTTTAGCTGCAACTGGAAGTTGACAAATAAACAACAAAAAGTTTTAAAACAATATTTAAAAAAAGTATTTTTCTTAAATTTTCCAGACGTTTAATGCGTTCCGACTTCCCCCTCACCGACGATCAATTTCTGGGCGAATCGAATATGTGGTCGGAGCTGAAACCGAATCTAAATGACATTGAATACTTCGTCGACGAGGATGACTATTTGTCGGATTCAATTAAATCGGATATTGGTATATTCCATGAGCCAATCAATACGGATTCAAGTCAATTGGATGAGTACTGTGGCAATTTTACTTTTAGGTGAGTATTTTCTTAAAATTAACAAAAAATAACAGACACACAAACACACCCACACAAATTCGACATTCAGTAGGATTTAAGTGGAATTGGATAAATGTGTCATTTGTAAAGAAAGAAAGAAATACTTTTTTGGGATAAAATCATTTGGTTTCGTGGAAATTGGAAAGAACATTTTTTGGACAAAAAAAAAAAGAAAATATTTTTTAAGTCGATGGCTTTGGATGAGAGTAAGTGACAGAAAAGAGAACTTTTAATACGATGTGAAAGAGGTCTATAAAATAAAGTGAGGAGAAGGAGGAAGCTTTTACGTTTCATATAATTGCTGCATTTGTAAGGTTTTATGGAAGGCTGACGAGATTTTTTATACACGAGCTAAAGTTGGTGCTAAGATATGACACAGACACTTGTCCATGAAGAAGTGGAGGCCTGGGAGTCTTCATAGACTAGCTGTGTGCAAGAGAGTCATTATAGACGATCTTGAGGTCAGAGAGTCTTCATAGACGAGCTGGAGGCCAGAGAATCCTTATAGACAAGCTGGAGGTCCGAGAGTCTTCATAGACGAGCTGCAGGCCAGCGAGCCTTTATAGAAAAGCTGGAGGCCAGCTGGTCTCCATAGACGAGCTGGAGGCCAGAGACACTTTATAGACGAGCTGGAGGCCAGAGAATCCTTATAGACAAGCTGAAGGTCTTCATAAACGAGCTGGAGACCACGGGGTATTTATAACGGAGTCTTTATAGCGAGCTGGAGGCCAGAGAGTGATTGTAGACGCGCTGGAGGCCAGCTGGGAGAGTTGGAGGCCAGTTGGTCTTTATAGACGAGCTGGAGGCCCGCTTGTCTTCATAGACTAGCTGGGAGGCTTCATAGACTAGCTGGAGGCCAGTTTGTCTCTATAGACGAGTTGGATGCCAGCTGGTCTTTATAGACAAGCTGGAGGCCAGCTGGTCTTCATAGACGAGCTGGTGGCCAGCTGGCCTCTATACACGAGCTGGTGGCCAGCTGGTCTCTATAGACGAGCTGGTGGCCAGCTGGTCCCTATAGACGAGCTGGAGGCCACCTGGTCCCTATAGACGAGCTGGAGGCCACCTGGTCACTATAGATGAGCTGGAGGCCAGCTGGTCTCTATAGACGAGCTGGTGGCCGGCCAGCTTGTCTCTATAGACGAGCTGAAGGCCAGCTGGTCTCTCTATAGACGAGCTGATGGCCGGCCAGCTGGTCTCTCTATAGACGAGCTGATGGCCGGCCAGCTGGTCTCTCTATAGACGAGCTGATGGCCGGCCAGCTGGTCTCTCTATAGACGAGCTGATGGCCGGCCAGCTGGTCTCTCTATAGACGAGCTGGTGGCCGGCCAGCTTGTCTCTATAGACGAGCTGAAGGCCAGCTGGTCTCTCTATAGACGAGCTGAAGGCCGGCCAGCTGGTCTCTCTATAGACGAGCTGGTGGCCAGAGCTGGTCTCCACAGACGAGCTGGTCTCCATAGACGAGCTGATGGACGGAGCTGGTCTCCATAGACGAGCTGGTGGTCAGAGCTGGTCTCCATAGACGAGCTGGTGGCCAGAGCTGGTCTCTATAGACGAGCTGGTGGCCAGCTGGTCTCTATAGACGAGCTGGTGGCCAGAGCTGGTCTCTATAGACGAGCTGGTGGCCAGAGCTGGTCTCTATAGACGAGCTGGTGGCCAGAGCTGGTCTCTATAGACGAGCTGGTGGCCAGAGCTGGTCTCTATAGACGAGCTGGTGGCCAGCTGGTCTCTATAGACGAGCTGGTGGCCAGCTGGTCTCTGTAGACGCGGTCTGACAGCTCTTCTCCAGAAAATCTTTTTATCTGAGAACTTTGCCATGAATGGGGAGCTTTTCCACCGAAGAGGTATAGTTTATGTAGGAGAGCTTTTCTATGGAAAAAGAGCATTCCGAGTGCTCTTCTGTGGAAGTGGAACTTAGCGGGAGCTCCTTTATGAAAGTGGAACTTTCTGATAGTTCTTCTATAGAAGCTGAGCCCTTTGAGTGCTCTTCTATAGAAGCTGAGCTCTTTGGTTGCTGTTCTATAGAAGCTTAGCTCTCTGAGAGCTGTTCTTTAGAAACTGAACTCTCTGCGAGCTCTTCTATAGAAAAAGAACTCTCTGATAAATATTCTATAGAAGCTGACCTCATTGAGAGACATTCTTTAGGCGCTGAGATATCGAGTGGAGCTCTTCTGTAGAAGCTGAGTTCTCTAAGTGCTCTTCTATTGAAGTGAAACTTATCGAGAGCTCTTCTATGGAAACTAAGCTCTCTGACAGGCGCTTTCTTGTTGCTCTTTTGTAGACGAGGAGCTCATGAAACTCATTGAGAGCTCTTCTATGAAAGTGAAACTTATCGAGATCACTTCTATGGAAGCTAAGCTCTCTGAGAGAATCTTGTTTGGTTCTCTTTTGTAGAGGAGAAGCTCTCTCTCTCTCTCTCTCTGTGCTCTTCTGTAGAAGGGGAGCTCTCTGAGAGTTCTTCTATGGAAAATAGACTTTCTTTGATAGCTCATCTATCAAAGAGGAGTGTCCTTCTGAGAGCTTTGATCTCGGTCTGAGGATATTTTTTGATACTTTTTAGAAGAGGAGCAGATTGGTAGGTTTCCTGCTTAGACATGCCTTCGAAAGGTCTTTTATAAAATAGAGATCTTTTTTTAGTGGGAAACCTCTTAAAGATGTTCTCTTTCATGGAGAGCTCACAAATAAATCTCTTGTAAGAGCATTCAAAAAGTTATTCATTTACGGAAGTAGCAAAAGACCTCTTCCGGAAAATCAAGTTTCATGAAGAGATTCCCCATAGACTAACCTATCATTCTAGATCCCAATAAATGCCTTTAAAAAACTTGAATGAACATCGTTACACTTTCGCCGAATTTCTCTCCCAAGTTTCTATTTTATCCTCTTTAAACTGTTCTCTATCTAAACGACAACATTGTAAATAACAATTAAAGAAACCTAAATTCGAAAATACATTTTCCTTGTAATTTGTTTGTTCTTATTCCACTCCTTCTCCGTCGTCTCTTTTTCTAGCAAACACGATGTGGAATGCTATCCCATGGCCAATGCATTGAATCCCTGCGAAGATGTGATGGGCTATCAATGGCTGCGTATTTCTGTTTGGATCGTTGTTGGCTTGGCCGTCATTGGAAATGTTGCTGTACTTGTGGTGATTCTGTCCATCAAGTAAGCTTTTCTCTCCAATAAAAGTATGCTATGTATTTTATGTTTAAATGCTTTCTGCGGAAAGACAAAATACGCAAAATGTTGTTGGAAAAATAAGGAAAAAAAATTAAATGGATTTATTTTTCTTTTTGTGCATTTACTTTAGATCCGAATCCCCATCTGTACCGAGATTTTTAATGTGTCATCTGGCATTTGCTGATTTATGTTTGGGTCTTTATTTGCTGTTAATAGCCAGCATTGATTCTCACTCCATGGGAGAGTATTTTAATTATGCCTACGATTGGCAATATGGTGAGTTATGAGGGGGGACTTGGTTTCTAATAAAATCCCTTTTTTATCCCTAAATCATAAAAATCTCTTCGAGTACCAATATTGACTTATTACCTCTTACCAACACATTCCCTTCATTGTCCTTATGAAAAAAGTTAATCCCTTTTGTTGATTTCTCTTTACCCTTAATCATACTCAAAGTTTCCCGTTACCATAACCTCAATTACCCTTCTATTCTTTCTCGTTATCTCATATTTACTTGCAATTTTTTTTATTTTAGGTGCCGGTTGCAAAGTTGCCGGTTTCTTAACGGTGTTTGCCAGCCATTTGTCCGTATTCACATTGACCGTCATCACCATCGAACGCTGGTTGGCCATAACGCATGCCCTCTATTTGAATCATCGCATCAAATTGAGACCAGCAGCTTATATTATGATGGGCGGCTGGATTTATTCTATTATTATGTCGTCATTGCCGTTATTCGGTATTAGCAATTACTCATCGACGAGGTAAGCGAGAGGGGCGGAGGAGGGGCAATTGGTTATAAATAGTTCACTTTGGATATGGAAGAGGGAAATTGGAGGGATGGATGAAATCTTTGGAAGTTGAGCTGGAGGGAGTCTATTTAAAAAAGTTTGAAAGAGTCTATTTAGTTAGAGACTAAGTTTAAAAGAGAAGATTTATATAACTTGAGCCCAAGAGGTCTTGGTAGATGCGACGGAGGCCAGAGAGTCTTGGTAGATGAGCTGCAGGTCATGAAGTATTTATAGACGAACTGGAGGCCAGAATGGTTTTTTAAAACAACTAGAGGGCTGACAGCCTTTATAGACGAACTGGGGGCCAGGGAGTCTTTATAGCCGAGCTGCAGGGCCAGATAGCATTAATAGACCAGCTGGAGTTCAGCTAGTCTGTAGAGTCATAGGTTATTTGAAGGCCAGCTGGTCTTCATAGACTAATTGGAGACTAGCTGGTCTTCATAGGCTATTTGGAGACCAGCTGATCTTCACAGACGATTTGAAGGCCAGCAGGTCTCTATAGACGAGCTGGAGGACAGGTGGTCTCTATAAACGAGCTTAGAGGCCAGCTAGTCTCCATATGAGCTGATGTCCAGCTGGTTTTTATAGACGAGCTGATGGCCTCCTGTTCTTTATGGTGGCCAGCTGGTCTGTATAGGCGAGCTGATGGGCTCCTGGTCTTTATTCACAGATCAGCTGGAGGCCAGGAAGTCTGTACAGATCAGCTGGAGGCCGGAAGTCTTTATAGGCAAGTTGGTGGCCAGGGAGATTCTTAAGGGCGAGCTGCAGGGCCAGATAGCATTAATAGACCAGCTGGAGTTCAGCTAGTCTGTGGAGAGAGAGAGTCTCTATAGTCGAGCTGGTGGCCAGCTGGTCTCCATAGACGAGCTGGTGGCCAGCCGGTCTCCATAGACGAGCTGGTGGCCAGCCGGTCTCCATAGACGAGCTGGTGGCCAGCTGGTCTCCATAGACGAGCTGTTGGCCAGCTGGTCTCCATAGACGAGCTGTTGGCCAGCGGGTCTCCATAGACGAGCTGTTGGCCAGCGGGTCTCCATGGACGAGCTGTTGGCCAGCGGGTCTCCATAGACGAGCTGGTGGCCAGCTGGTCTCTATAGACGAGCTGATGGTCTCTATAGGCGAGCTGGTGCCCATCTTGGCTCTATAGGGGAGCTGGTGCCCACCTTGTCTCTATAGGCGAGCTGGAGGCCAGCTGATCTCTATAGACGAGGTGGTGGCCAGCTGGTCTCTATAGAGGAGCTGGAGGCCAGCTGGTGTCTGTATAGAGGAGCTGGAGGCCAGGTGGTGTCTGTATTGAGGAGCTGGAGGCCAGGTGGTGTCTGTATAGAGGAGCTGGAGGCCAGCTGTTGTCTGTATAGAGGAGCTGGAGGCCAGCTGGTGTCTGTGTAGAGGAGCTGGAGGCCAGCTGGTAATAGATGAGTTGAAAGCAAAATAAGTCTTTATAGACGAGTTGTTGCCCCGTGGAGTCTCTTTTGACGGGTTTAAGGTCCAAAAAGTCTATACAGACGATTTGGAGGATCAAGAAGTATTTTTTTAGACGAATTAAAGACACCAAGATTTTTTTTGACGAGTGAAAGGGCCAACGATTTTTTACAGACGAGCTAAAGGCCCAATGAGTGGTTATAGACCAGTTGAAGGCCCGAGGACTTTTTATAGAAGGCCAAGGACGACTATTTATTGACGAGCTGAAGGCCCATTGAGTATTTTGTTTTTTTTTTTTGTTTTTGACGAGTTAAAGGCCCAAGGGCATTTTTTAAGACGAGTTGAAGGTCCACAGCGCTTTCTCGGACAAACCAAAAGGTTCCACACTGGACAAAAAGTTGGATCTAGGATTAGAAGTTTGTTGTATATAATATTGTATTCCAATCTCCAATATTGCCTTTATTTATCAGACTTTAAAAGCAAACCCTGATAATTGGCAGTATTTTTATTTATCTTATCCGAAACAATAAATTGGCTTATTATCTCTTTGCAGTATTTGTTTACCCATGGAAATACGCGATCCCTTCGACACCGCCTATCTGGTTGCCATCATGGGTCTAAATGGTGTGGCATTCTTCATTATTGCAATTTGCTATGGCCAAATATATTTGTCGCTGGGCGAGGAGACGCGTCATGCTCACAGTAATTCGACGGGAGAGATGAGTGTTGCCAAGAAAATGGCTTTGCTGGTAAGGAAAGCAACAACAACATTCTTATCTACTGGAAGACAAAAATAAATAAAGATTATTAATTAAATCCTATGTTTTTTCTTTCTTCTACTTCAGGTATTTACAAATTTTGCTTGCTGGGCTCCCATAGCCTTCTTTGGATTGACAGCCTTATCCGGCTATCCGTTGATAAATGTAACGAAATCGAAAATACTATTGGTGTTTGTGTATCCCCTGAATTCTTGTGCCGATCCATATTTGTATGCCATATTAACATCGCAGTATCGTCAGGATTTGTATCTTCTGTTGGCAAAGTGAGTAGATTTTTATGAGAAGACTTTTTTTTTACTTTTAATACCTACTGAGACATCAATTGTTAATGCCCATTGAATATTGGCGTTAAACAGCAAAGTGAGACAATATTTGCTCTCCTTTTCTGGAAAAACTCTCTTCCACCAGCCAGTTAACAATTTTTTAAGAAACTTTCCATTTTTTAATAATTTTCCATTAATCCTACTTTTTTTGGCTTCCCTCCATTTTTTTCTCTTTCGCCTCAGATTCGGCCTTTGCCAGCAGAAAGCATTGAAGTACAAAAACAGTATTTCCTTTCCGGCCACCTCTAATTACACCTGTTCTATACAAAGACACGGTTCTCTAATACCAAAAATACAAAAGAGCAACGGTACCCCACCACCAGAGACTCAAATAATGCTGCAGGGCAAAGAGGATTTTGTCTGAGACAGCGCTGTGGAGCGAAATGAGATTGTAACGACAGCAACCACAATTACATGAAGTATTGATACTATGACAACAACAGCAACTACACAACCAAAACATTAGACATAGACTTGAAGTCATTGCTATTATTATTATTATTTTTGTATTTAATTTTTGATTATTATTTTTTTGTATTTAATTTTTAATTATTATTTAAAAAAAATTATTTATTTAAGTCGAAGACTTACATAGATATGAACAAAATGTAAATTTATGATGTAGTTAGGTTAATAATATGGTATATACATATGTACAGATAGATATTTAATTATATATAAAGAAATTGGGTGTGCCGAAGAAAATAACCGGATGATGGCTCAAAGCGTCGAATTTGGTATACTTGGCAAAGAAATGGATGTCTCTATAGGCCGAGATTAAATCATGAATTACAGCTCAACAGCTGCAAATTACGGAGTGAAATTCAAAATATATATAGACAAGCTGGTGGCCAGCTGGTCTCCATAACGAGCTGGTGGCCAGCTGGTCTTCCATAGACAAGCTGGTGGCCAACTGGTCTTCCATAGACGAGCTGGTGGCCAGCTGGTCTTCCATAGACGAGCTGGTGGCCACCTGGTCTTCCATAGACGAGCTGGTGGCCAGCTGGTCTTCCATAGACGAGCTGGTGGCCAGCTGGTCTTTATAGACGAGCTTGGTGCCCAGCTGGTCTTTATAGACGAGCTTGGTGCCCAGCTGGTCTTTGTAGACGAGCTTGGTGCCCAGCTGGTCTTTGTAGACGAGCTTGGTGCCGAGCTGGTCTTTGTAGACGAGCTTGGTGCCCAGCTGGTCTTTGTAGACGAGCTTGGTGCCCAGCTGGTCTTTATAGACGAGCTTGGTGTCCAGCTGGTCTTTATAGACGAGCTGGTGCCCAGCTGGTCTTTATGGACGAGCTGGGTGCCAGCTCTGTCTCTATAGACGAGCTGGTGGCCAGCTGGTCTATATAGACGTGCTGGGGGCCAGCTCTGTCTCTATAGACGAGCTGGTGGCCAGCTCTGTCTCTATAGACGAGCTGGTGGCCCAGCTGGTCTCTATAGACAAGCTGGTGGCCCAGCTGGTCTCTATAGACAAGCTGGTGGCCCAGCTGGTCTCTATAGACGAGCTGGTGGCCAGCTCTGTCTCTATAGACGAGCTGGTGGCCAGCTCTGTCTCTATAGACGAGCTGGTGGCCAGCTCTGTCTCTATAGACGAGCTGGTGGCCAGCTCTGTCTCTATAGACGAGCTGGTGGCCAGCTCTGTCTCTATAGACGAGCTGGTGGCCAGCTCTGTCTCTATAGACGAGCTGGTGGCCAGCTCTGTCTCTATAGACGAGCTGGTGGCCAGCTCTGTCTCTATAGACGAGCTGGTGGCCAGCTCTGTCTCTATAGACGAGCTGGTGGCCAGCTCTGTCTCTATAGACGAGCTGGTGGCCAGCTCTGTCTCTATAGACGAGCTGGTGGCCCAGCTGGTCTCTATGGACAAGCTGGTGGCCCAGCTGGTCTCGATAGACGAGCTGGTGGCCCAGCTGGTCTCGATAGACGAGCTGGTGGCCAGCTCTGTCTCTATAGACGAGCTGGTGGCCAGCTCTGTCTCTATAGACGAGCTGGTGGCCAGCTCTGTCTCTATAGACGAGCTGGTGGCCAGCCCTGTCTCTATAGACGAGCTGGTGGCCCAGCTGGTCTCTATGGACAAGCTGGTGGCCAGCCCTGTCTCTATAGACGAGCTGGTGGCTCAGCTGGTCTCTATAGACAAGCTGGTGGCCAGCCCTGTCTCTATAGACGAGCTGGTGGCCCAGCTGGTCTCGATAGACGAGCTGGTGGCCCAGCTGGTCTCCATAGACGAGCTGTTGGCCCAGCTGGTCTCCATAGACGAGCTGTTGGCCCAGCTGGTCTTCATAGACGAGCTGGAGGCCCAGCTGGTCTCTATAGACGAGCTGTGGTGGCCAGCTCTGTCTGGCTCTGTCTCTATAGACGAGCTGGTGGCCAGCTCTGTCTCTATAGACGAGCTTTTGGCCCAGCTGGTCTCTATGGACAAGCTGGTGGCCCAGCTGGTGTCTATGGACAAGCTGGTGGCCCAGCTGGTCTCTATGGACAAGCTGGTGGCCCAGCTGGTCTCTATGGACAAGCTGGTGGCCCAGCTGGTCTCTATGGACAAGCTGGTGGCTCAGCTGGTCTCTATAGACAAGCTGGTGGCCCAGCTGGTCTCTATAGACGAGCTGGTGGCCCAGCTGGTCTCGATAGACGAGCTGGTGGCCCAGCTGGTCTCGATAGAAGAGCTGGTGGCCCAGCTGGTCTCGATAGAAGAGCTGGTGGCCCAGCTGGTCTCGATAGACGAGCTGGTGGCCCAGCTGGTCTCCATAGACAAGCTGGTGGCCCAGCTGGTCTCCATAGACGAGCTGATGGCTCAGCTGGTCTCCATAGACGAGCTGGCGACCAGCTGGTCTCCGTAGACGAGCTGGTGGCCGCCAGCCGGTCTCCGTAGACGAGCTGGTGGCCGCCAGCCGGTCTCCGTAGACGAGCTGGTGGCCAGCTGGTCTCCATAGACGATGACGAGTTAGAGGCCAGCTTGTCTATATAGACGACCTGGAGCCAGCTGGTAATTTCACAAAATAATCTCAACAGCAAGAATTCCTCATTCCACTTTCCTCTCTCGAAAATTATCTCAATTTCGAACATTTTTCGGCACACCCTAATATAGCATAGAAAACTTACATACAAACGAAAATAAAATAAAAAAAAAAAACAATTTATTTATTTATGTGAAATGTCCAAAAAATCGAACTTAAACGTATATTAATATATATTTGTATAAAATACAACTGTTTCTAAGAAACTACAAAAACAATCTGATGTTCCAAAAAAAAACATAAAACCGAATTAGAAAATAAGAAAAACCAAACCAATACTAAAGAGAAAAAATATATGTGTATGTACGTGTGATTTGTGTAAAATTTTGGTCCAAAATTATTATTGTCCAACTTAGCAGAGAGATTTCAGGGTAAGTGATCATAGCCAAGATCAAACGTAATTTAATCAATGGAAGCAAAAAAGTTATAACCTCTACCTCCTTCAGGGATGTCATATATATTTTTGTATGCCCATTTTCCTCTATCCCTCCCCTAAAATTATGAATGAAAAATTATGAATTAAGTACATAATATTTTCATTCTTTTTGATTTAGGATCTCTAAAAGAATGTTTCTCAATGATTTACACTGTGAAACACAAAAAATAAGTGCTAGGAAAAAATCAGTAGATTATAAAAATAGAGCTACTAGCATTTCACACATGCTAACAGAAGATCTGTCAAATCATTTTATATCTGCGAACCATTTCTTGTACCGCACCCACAAAGGGTCACCATTTCCATTACTTTTTCTGTCATAACTTGCGAAATAAATCAGCTCTCTCAACCAGAAATCTGAGATGAATACCTGAATGAATGAATACCTCACGCAAAGTGAAGAAAATAGTCGATATAGTCCAAACCTGGCTCGTCGCAATATTTGTATAATATTTATTTAGGTCCGATACGAAATGGACAATATTGGCCCATTCCTTCCGAATGGGATAATCATAACAGATGTCAAAATATATTTCGAATAATCGAACATTGGCTGAGAGTATACATCTGCCGGAAAAACCGACTGATACTTTTTACCTTGTTTCTACCACATTTAAGATTGTGTTTTTATACCCTACACCACATAGAGGTAAGGGTATGCATTTGTTTGTAACATGGAGAAGGAAGCGAGATAGACCCATAGTTACTTTTGAGGATCTCCATAGAATCACTTTCTGAGTTGATTTATGCATGTCAGTCCGTCTGTCCGTCCGTCTGTCCATGTATTCTTGTGAACAAAATGCAGGTCGCATTTATTATCCGATTGAGATGAAATTTTTGCCCAAGTACGAACCCTATTGAAATTGGAGATAATCGGTCAAAATTTAGATATAGCTCCCATATATATCTTCGTCCGATTTGCCGTTTATTGTGCACCAAACGTGTAATATCAATCCAAATAGTATGGAATTTTGCACGTACGATCAGATTGGACCTGAAAATAAGTATGCCGAATTTGATCGAAATCGGTTCAGATATAGCTATAGCTCCCATATATATTGTTCATCCGATTTGTTATTTTTGTCCTCCGCAACCGTAATATGCACTCCGTAACAACGATATTCAGGGAAATATATCAAATACAGCTCAGAAATATCTTTGCCAAATTTTATCGAGATAGGTTCGGGATAGGTTCGGATATAGCTTCCAAAATAACTTCGTCCGATTTACCTTTTATTTTGCACCAAAGGTCTAACATTTCCCCAAATGGGATGAAATTTGGCACATACAATCGAATTGAGTGTAGTAGTATGCCAAATTTGGTGAAGATCGATTCAGATATAGCCATAGCTCCCATATATATTGTTTATCCGATTTGTTATATTTGTTACCCACAGCCGTAATATGCACTCCGTAACAACTATATTCAGGGAAATATATCAAATACAGCTCAAAAATATCTTTGCCAAATTTTATCAAGATCGGTTCAGATTTGAATATAGCTGCCATATATATCTTTATCCGATTTCAAATTAATTGTGCACCAAATGGGCAATACAAGTCCGAATTTAAAAGATACAAATGCTTCGGCATATTTAGTCCTTTGAACTTTAAATTATAATTATAATCATAGCGTGTATGATTGAATTCTCCCATAAAAGCTTTTAATTGTTATGTGGAGCTCAACTAAATTAGCAAAGTGGTGTAGGGTATCATAAGGTCGGCCCCGTCCGACTTTAGGACTTTCTTTACTGTTTTTTTATGAATTTTGTCCACGTATTTATCCAGTAACAAATCTCATAACCAAATAAAGCATCATATAGATTCCTAGTTTTAGCTGGGTATTTTTACTACCATCGGCATCTTTAGTTGAATTTTTCAAACATAATAAAATGGGAAATTATTTCATGACTTTTTTAAATTTTTCGACCTGACAATGTTTCTACCAACATTAGTGTGAAGATGGGATATGTAGGTACTTATGTCTCCCCCACGAGGAATTTAAATAAATGGTAATAATCCGAGTGTATAAATCTCACAATAACGCAACATT